GAAGGGAGGGGTCCAAGCCGCCTCTGAGGCCACGTGCAGTGTGTCTCCCTCTCCTGACCCATCTTTCAACTTGGGCTCGAGCCACACCCACCTGTGATGACGGGCTTCCGTGTGCGCGCGTGCGCGCGTGCGCGTGTGTGTGTGCGTGCGTGTGTGTGCGCCTGCTCTGCTTTCTCAGCTTTGGGTCTTCAGTTTGGTTGAAAGACATCATTATCGTTGTGTGACCCGAGTTGACCTAAAGAAGAAGAGAGAGACTTTCTCCAGGAGGGTCGAGTCCAGGTTGTGCAGCCTGCCAGGTAATGCCACTCAGACCCCCGCCCCCCCACCCTGCCCCGTGGGGTTCCCGCCCTGGTGCTCTCCAAGCTGATCAGCCTGCGAGGGTTCTGGGTTAGGGGAGGGGGCCGGAGAGGAGGCGGGGACAAGTGGAGCGTCTGACCTCAGAGCTCCACCAGCACCAGGCGGATCTTGTGAGGGAGGATGGGGTGGGCCAGTCACCCCATCCTGTGTGCAGGGCACTGCGGTCTGGTGACCAGGAGAGCATGTGTTCCCCGGCCCAAGGCAGCGGCTTCCTGGCTGCTGTGGGTTGTCATGGTGCTGAGGGGTCCAGGGTGGACAGAGCTACCTTCCAGAGCTGTTCCATGCCGAGCTGACTGAGCAGACTGGTGCCCTGCGTGTCCCCATCCCGCACCCTCACCCGGCCTCCCCTGCGTGCCCACACCCCTCCCCCCCTCCCCCGCTGCGTGACCCCATCACCTCCTGGGCCTCCCCTGTACTCCCCTGTCCCTCATCCCCTCCCCCCCCCAGGACGCCCCTGTGCGTCCCCATCCCCTTGGGCTGGCCCAGTCCCTTTGCTCTGCACTATTCTCCCTCTGCCCACAGTTGGTTCTGATGGGGGAAACAAAGGCAGAAAGACGTGATAAAGTTGAATTTCCTTATACCCTGAAGCCCACTGACAAGGTACTTGAGGCCGGCAGAGGAAAATGTTTCTACGGGAACTCCCTTTGTCTTCATGTTAGTGCTTTGCTAGAGGAAGAACCACCTTAGCCTGGCAATAGCCAGGCCTCCAGGATCTTAAGTGGCTACTTTAGCAGACGAAAGTCCTTCTGGGGACTCCCCTAGTCTTTACCTTCCCCAGCTCCCAAGCGCATAACCTGTCACTCCTCGGGACCCCAGTGCAGCCCTTCCTGCCCTCGGGTCCCGTCCCCGTGCGTGCTTTAATAAAACCGTCCTGTTGCACGGAAGACGTCTCAAGAACTCTTTCTTGGCTGTTGGCCCTGGACCCCCACCCCCACTCCAAACCTCATCAGCCCCTACCTGGCCACACCTCCCTTCCTCACCCTCTGCTCTCGTACCTACCACAGTGTCACAACGGGAGTGGATGGTCTGTTGGGAGAGCTGTGGACTTCCCTCCTCAGTCCAGCCTGGGACTCCTGTGGGGCACGGGCAGTGCACTGACTCTCCTGTCACAGCGAGTTCGGCTTTTCCCTGCTGCCCCCAAGTCTCTCACCATTCGTCCTGCTCTTTGGTGTAGCTTGTGTCTCCCCTCCCCTCCCCCGGCCTTCCCGAAGGTCAGAAATTACCTTTATTCAGTGTACCTGCTTTCTTCCTAATGCTTTAAATCTTGGTTTTCGTGACCTCTTGTGTGCGAAGGCCCATTTATTAGCAGGTAAACCTGATCCTGCCTTAAGAACAGGGTTAAACTCTAGGTGTGCCTGACACTCCACGTTCCTTCTTTCCAGGCCTCACGTATGGGGTCTGCTCTGTATTTGTAACCTTGTTCTTTACCTCGTGTAAGTCTGAGGGCTTTCCTTGACTCGTGACCTGATTACTCTAGCCCACGTGTGTTTCCATCAACATCCCGTGGTGCCAACTGTTTGCCTTTAACTCGACTGACCATTTTAATCTCAGCTCAGATTATCAATAGTTCTGTTCCTAGAGGAGAATCGGCGTCCCTGTGCACACGGCCTGGAGAAAGGAGAGGACATGGAAGGAAGCCTGCCTGTCCTGGGCCTGGCTCCCTGTGACCTTTCGCTCCTGCTCAGTTCTGAGTGTGGATGGTGAGTATGATGAACTTGGCCAGTGCCATGTGAAGAAAACTTTACCAAATTAGGTTCATTTTTGAAGAATGATTAAACTAAAACCAAATTATTTTTGTCTGTTAGAATAATAATAACTGTGAAGTGTTTTTAGGACTGCATGCTTCGAGTCTTAAAGTTGGTAAACTTGGTCAATTATTTCTAAGTCTATTTAATAAAAGAAATATTAATTTTAATTTCACTCACCAAAATCCAGGCAGATCTTAAAAAAAATATTTTTAATGTTTATTCATTTTGGGGAGACAGAGTAGGGGAGGGCAGCGAGAGAGGGAGACACAGAATCTGAAGCGGGCTCCAGGCTCTGAGCTGTCAGCACAGAGCCCGATGCAGGGCTCAAACCTACGAAGCGTGGGATCATGACCTGGGCCAAAGTCGGACGCCCAACGGACTGAGCCCCCTAGGCGTCCTTAGGTAGATCTTGATTGCATAATAAGGTAAAGGAGGATATAATCGTGACTCCCTCTGAACTTCCCCCATCTGTCTGTATATCAGACACTTAAGAACGTATCATGATTGCTTTTACTGAGTGTGGAAAGGTCTAGGGACGACGGGGCCTCTGGTCTCCCTGGACAAGGGGGGTGCTCCCCTGGACGGGGAGCTGGCCGTGCTGTAGGGCCAAGTGTCCGCACAGGTGCCAGGCTGGGTGGGAACACACATCTGGCCTGTGCTTTGGTCAGGGCCAGGCCTTCCGCCCCTGGGGTGCACATGGGGTGGCAGCGACCCACCTGCCTGGCCGCCTTCTGGACGGCCGCGGGTGTGTGCGGGCCTGAGAATGAGCCCAGAGTGAGAAAGAGACAGTCCTAGAGCCTTGTGAGGCTCCAGGGGACCGAGTGGCAGGCGGGAGAGAGGGCGTGGAGAGTCCTTCAGAGTCCAAGTCTGGCATAGCCAGAGGAGGCCTATTGGCCCTTTGTTAACGTTGACCCTGTTTGCACATTGATGGAAGAGGAGGCAGAGCTGTGGTCGGTATCTCCTGAGCTCTGCCACCGTGGTCTGTTCCCTGTTAGCGGAGCTCCTCATCTCCAGACACCACCCGGCAGGACGCAGGTGCCACGTGGCCGCCTCGAAGGGATGGACGTGGCACCGGCTGCCACCTTGAGCTCGGAAGAAGTGATAGCCTTGCAGGTGACAGTCGAGTTGCGGTCAGGTCGTGGCCGTCTCGTCTTCACTGGACAGTGGGTTTCCAGAAAACCCGAGACCGTTGAACACCAGCCTGATTGAGTGCGGTTCTGGGTCATAAATGCCGAGAGCCGGCTGCCTGCTCAGTGGCAGCTGTGGGACGGAAGCCTGAGGGGTGAGACCGCCACGTCATTCTCTTTTTCTTTGAAAATTAGCCTGCCTTCTGAGAGTGCCCCGTGCCTGTGGGTTGGAAGCTCCTCTGGCTTACTCATACTTAACTTGGCGAACTTTGAATTGGAAGGCGTTTTACGTTACAAGGGTAAGGTGAAAGTTCAGGTCACCTTTGATCTAAATTTCATGTAACTTCTATTAATGTCTTCCTCTGCCACGGGAGGGTGACACCTTCGGCGTAGAAAGTCTGGTCACCAGAACGTGCAGACGAGGCGTGTTTGCCATGTGTCAGGCCACGGGCAGCTTCTGGGTCCCAAGGCCATGCTGTTAGCTCACTCCGACCTCTGGGTGGGTGTCCCTTCCCTTGGTCCTCGGTGCCCCGGTCTTCTGTGCGCAGGGCTCCGAGGGACACTTCTCCTCAGGGCTGCCGCGCCTGTCCCGAGCTTATACCAAGGGCTTTTGAGTCCACACTGTCCATATTTCCTGCTGACGACTTGACACCTGTGACTGGACAGCCCCCCAGCTTGTCCGACTCCACGGTCTGGACTGACCTGGGGCGGCTCCCGTCTGTTCTCAGATTCTGCGACCTCCATGCCGGGAGTTGCCCTGCCAGTAATGTGGGCGTGATTCCTGACTCCGTCCCTCCTCCCTCCCCGAGCTTGCCCCCCTCAGGAGCCTCCTGCAGGCACAGCCCATGTCACCTGTAAGAGCAGTCTCCCTACTTTCTCCTTTAAGGCCCCTGTGTTTTGGGGACAGAGTCCGAGTTCTTAGCCTGGCCCAGCCCAGCCTCTCTCCTCGTTGGAGGTCACTGCCCGTTTCGACCGTCACTTACTTGCAGACTTTGCTTGAACCCTCCAAACCTCTGCTGACCTGAGTGCCTTCTTCTCCTCCCCCTGCTTGCCCTTGAAGGTTCACCGGAGCTCCTCTTAGATCTGGGTGTGTGTGTGTGTGCCCCTGGAATTGTGTTACCGGGGCTCGCCCCAGCTGCCCTATGCCTTCTCCGCCGGATTGAGCTGCCCCAGGGCAAGGGCTCTCGGGAGCGCACAGGCCCACGTGCGGTGGGCGTGCAGGCACGTGGGGTTCGTTCCCCCGTAAACGTTGCTTGTTTGTCTCTCTTTGCTGGAAATTAAGATTTCAGGAGCCTCAGCATTCAGGTTGCCGGATCGTGTGCAATGATGAGCAAGGCCGGCGAGCAAAAGGTGATACCTGAAACGTGCCGTCCTCAGACCCTGCCGAGTGCATCGGTACGCGTCCTTTCCTCCATGTGGTGGAGTGTGACCTCGCGTGTGACGTTTGGCACGCGATAACTGCCCACATGACAGGAGCAGCCTTACCCTGTGTGGTTGGGGTCACGGGTGTGTGCTCACTGTTGACCGTGTGACAACTGTCCCGTGCAGGCCATCTGCTTACTGACGTCCATGTTTGGCGGTCAGATCGCCGTGTTGGAAATCCGTCTCGCGGCTCTGGTGCGGTCTCGGCAAGGTCTCGGCGCCGGAAGGAGCCTGTCGGTGCTGCCTCGGTAGGGTCTTCTCCGGTAGGATTTCCGCATGCGGCTTTCCCCGCTCAGGAGCTTACGTTCCTGTCGATTCTAAGAATTAAAAGTAAAGTTTGGTGAACTCCCAACTCTCCTGACCTGTTCGAAAGAAATTCTTGCCCATGGCATTGCTTCTGTCTTGTTTAAAAGTAAATGATTCATACTTAATTTTCAATGTAAAAGTATTTTATTTCAGGATAGAATGTAAATTATAAAAGAGCCATTTTGTTAAAAATAGTAAAGATTATTTCTTAGAAGAAGAGGAATAAGCTTGATCGTTTCCAAAGATCGCACATCCGTATCTACATGAGTTAATCCCTTGTGATGTCCTGACAACGTGCATTTTGTGAGTTTGTTCTCCTGGCCATTTGTCTGCCTAGTGGCTGTGTCCTGTCCACGTCTCCGCTGCACTTCAGAATTGCTGAGGAGCACAGGACCCCACCGGCGCCTCAGCGACGGTCCGGTTAGTACCCCCTGCTCTGGGACGTGGCACAATGACCTGCTCTGTGGATTCATGTTTGTCCGCGTGAAAATTCGGCATTTCCTCTGTCCATCGCTGCTTCGTTTCTCTGCCTCTCATGTATTTTTTACATGCTCTTTGTGGTAGGGAATGTGCTAGATATTTTGTTTTCCTGAATCGGGTATCATTCATAGGAATTCAAAAACAAGTGCTCTAGGGGCGCCTGGGGGGCTCAGTAGGTTAAGCGTCTGACTTGGGCTCGGGTCATGATCTCACGGTTCGTGAGTTCGAGCCCCACGTTGGGCTCTGTGCTGACAGCTCGGAGCCTGGAGCCTGCTTCTCTGTCAAAAATAAATAAAAACACTAAAAAAAAAAAAAATTGAAAAAACCAAATGCTCTACCGGCCAGAACATACATGTGGATGCCCAATTATTGATCACGGGACTGATTTTTTTTCTTGTCTCTCTTTGCTGAAGATCGTAAAGCCATTGCCAAGCATCACATCGTTTTACCCCTGCAGACTTGAGTATGCGTTTCTAAAACACAGACGTGTGCTTGGTGGCCGTGATGCCATTATCAAAACCAACAGCGATTCTTTCGTGTCCTTTATTAATTAGCCAGCCCAGATAAGTTATTCCTGATTGTCTCAAAAATCTTTCTCATTGTATTACTATAAGCAGAAAACAAATCCGCACGTTGCTCTTTACAAAGAAATAATTTTAAAGTTCTGTTTTAAGATGCCAGACTTCATTACATTTTCCGTTTATTTTCATTGTTGAGAATCACTGACAGCGATTCTTTTTTCCCTTTCGTTGACCAACCCGGAGTCCTAATCAGTATGGTTAAGCCTCCTGTTGACCTAGTTACAAACCAACAGAGGTGCTCAGTCTGCTTGTATCTCCATCTTTGATGAGGGACCCCAGCTCCTGGAGGGGGCACGACTGCAGGCGCAGGTGCCCTCCTGCTAGGTCGTCCAGGCTCTGGCTCTGGAAGGGCGGGGGGCTGTGCCGTCATCGCACCCGTGTCCCGCCGCCCCCCCTGCCTTGTCCACGAGACCTTCTGAAGGCCTCCACTGTTCTTAACTGCGTTGCTCTGTGGCTCCCCCGGCCCCGCCCCCCAGCCGAGTCCCTCTGGGGAAGGCGTGCACGGACTGTCACCCTCATACCTCCCCTCCCGCGTGGTCACTGCAGGCCGGGTCCCCCCCTTCGGGATCTGGGATCCCCTCTGCTGGGTTTCTGAGCCGCGGCCTCCCGTTCTCCTGGCTCTGTCCCTCCCTCAGTCCCAACACCCAGCCCTGTGTCGCTTCGGGAGCAGAAGTCCGTCCATCCTCCAATGGCGGCCTCCTCAGAGAAGTTTAAATTCCTATGTAGTTACGTTAGCGAGAACCGAAAGTCTTTGCTAGGCATATGTTACGGCTTTATACTTAAGTGGTGTGGTAAAAGTTGTTTTTCATATTCTTTTTAAAAACATGTTCTGTTCGTTTATTTCTTCTTTCTTATATTTTTTATTGTGGTAGAATATCTATAATGTGAAATTTAACATTTTAACCATTAAAAAATTTTTAAAAATATTTTATTTATTTTTTTGAGAGAGACAGAGCGTGAGCAGGGGAGGGACAGAGAGAGAGGGAGACAGAATCCGAAGCAGGCTCCAGGCTCTGAGCTGTCAGCGTAGAGCCTGACATGGGGCTCGAACTCCTGAACCGTGAGATCTTGACCTGAGCTGAAGTCTCACAATTAACCGACTGAGCCACCCAGGCGCCCCACATTTTAACCATTTTTAAGTGTACAGCTCATTGGCATTAAGTGCCTTCATATTGTTGCATGATGTAAAGTCTTTTAAGATAATTTTATTAATACCAAAAATTATGTATATGTTTTTATTAAAATTACTTGGAAAAAAGTTGTGACAGATATTAATTAAATTGCTAATTAGTTGGAATATTAGGTTGCTTAGATAATATTCCGAAATTCTAAATACATTTTTACTCAAAGAAAATTACTTAGACTGGATGAACTCTATGTTAAGTGGCCACTGATGCTCTGTTTTTTACCTCTAAGTGTGGCCAGTTATTTTCATCACCACACATGTGACTGGGCATGTCAGAGGCATAATCTTATGGCTCCTCTGTATGGAACTGTTTTGAAATGAGACACATAATTTCCTCTTTCTTTTATTACCTCGCTCATTTCTTTAGATTTTATTCTTGTTTTATTTAGAGTACCCTTAAAAATGTTTTTTTTTTTTCATTTTTTGCTAGTATGGATCATCTTATTCGGATGAGTCTATATGATATACCATGCTTCACAGCTAAGTGATGCGTAGAACAAAACCTTTGATAAGAACAGTCGTGTAGACAGTAAGGCTTATTACGGAGATTATAATTTCTCTGTAACCAGGGACAGGTGCAATTTCAGACAGTTGATTTTTATGACAGTTTTATGTCTTGTTTAAAAAGTATTCATATGGAGGGGCGCCTGGGTGGCGCAGTCGGTTAAGCGTCTGACTTCAGCCAGGTCACGATCTCGCGGTCCGGGAGTTCGAACCCCGTGTCAGGCTCTGGGCTGATGGCTCAGAACCTGGAGCCTGTTTCCAATTCTGTGTCTCCCTCTCTCTCTGCCCCTCCCCCGTTCATGCTCTGTCTCTCTCTGTCCCAAAAATAAATAAACGTTGAAAAAAAAATTAAAAAAAAAAAAAAGTATTCATATGGAGAGTTAATGCAGATGACCGATTTATAGTTGTGCTAGAATCTAAAAATTTGCATCCCTCTAGTTGCAAGAAGCATAGTAGAAATAAACACATGCGATGAACTGATATATTTTAATACTTAAAGCATTTATTAAAGTAATATGCCCTTCCATAAATATGAACTTTATTCTAGTACTTTCAAGACCTTTTCATAGCCAAGTACCCAAATGCATCTGTTATTTTATTATCTGATCTGGAAAATATTTTCCGTTTGCTTTGTTCTTCTCAGAGATTTTTTCTCCTTCACTTGACACTGAGGTGGAGAGAGGTTTTCTGGGTCCCCCCTGGGAGCAGTTGTATTTCCAGGCCTTCCCCGAGGTGCCTCGTTCCCCGGGTGGGGCTCTGCCTTCGGCGAGCCGGATGCTTTTTGGGTTCCTGGTCACGTGGGTGTCATTTTAGTGATTTGCTCACTCGCTTCACTTGGTTTTTGATGGGAATATGGTCCAGGTTATCAGGCTTGAAATAGTGCCAGATACAGAACTGAGTTTCTTTGTTAAAAAACAAAACAAAACAAAACTATTTTCAAAATAATGCAATACTGTGCAAGTATCCGTTTTTTCTAAAGCTACTTTATACTGCTGTACAGAGTATTCATATTGGATACCAAGTATTAAATGTTTGTAAAAATCAATAATTCTGGCAGAATTTTATTTTGCCTGAAAGGATTTGAGATTTGTAAATATTTGTGTTAAGTTCATGCAGCGTCAGAGTTTTTATCAGTTGGCAGTGCTGCGGAAAACTTAGTAGGATAAGAAATTTCGTTGCCACTGAGGTGCACAGGTGTAGTCATGGTTAAGTGCTTTATCTTTCTTACTGCTCTATCATGTGGTAAACGAGTACCTGAGAGAAATGTGAGCTGATTTAAGATCATTGCTGTTCTTGTTTGTAGAAAAGATCTATTTGTCACAGCTTTATAGAGCGAGTTACTCCACGATGGCTGGTTTCTAGTGTGCCACGGACGGGATTTCACATAGACGGGTTCTGTGTGTGGCCTGTTTTATTACGACGTGAGCTGATGTGTTAGTCTACATGGTGTTTGGAACATGTGCTGTTGAGCACATACTGCAATTCAGTATCATTTGAGGAATGAGAAAACGTTTTTTGTTGTTTTCTTATACTTGTAATACCCTTGATTTAACCTTCTTTGCTGGTATCGGTTGGTTTGGCATTGCGTGTGAAACCTCTTCGGTTTATAGTGAATGGCCTCCTTCCATGCATGTGAACTTTTGTGTTCTCAAGGAACTTTTTTCTCGGCATGTTACACATTTGCTACTTTTTTTTTCTATAATTATTTTTTATAATTTAAGTCCAAATTAGCACATGGTGCAACAGTGATTTCAGGAGTAGATTCCTTAAGCCCCTTCCCCATTTAGCCCACCCCTCCATCACACAACCCCTCCAGCACCCCTCTGTTCTCCATATTTTAGAGTCTCTTATGTTTTGCCTCCCTCTCTGTGTTTGTCTTCTTTTTGCTTCCCTTCCCTTATGTTCGTTCATCTGTTTTGTATCTTAAAGTCCTCATATGAGTGAAGTCATATGATTTTTGTCTTTCTGTGATTACTTTCGCTTAGCATAATACCCTCTAGTTCCATCCACGTTGCTGCAAATGGCAAGATTTCATCCTCTCTCATCGCCAAGTAATACTCCATCGTATATATAAACTACATCTTCCTTATCCATTCATCCATTGATGGACATTTGGGCTCTTTCCATACTTTGGCTATCGTTGATAGTGCCGCTGTAAACACGGGGGTGCGTGTGTTCCTTCGAAACAGCACACCTGTATCCCTTGGATAAATACCTAGTAGTGCAGCTGCTGGGTCGTAGGGTAGTTCTATTTTTAGTTTTTTGAGGAACCTCCACACTGTTTTCCAGAGCGGCTGCACCAGCTGGCCTTCCCACCAACAATGCAAAAGAGATCCTCTTTCTCTGCATCCTCGCCAGCGTCTGTTGTTGCCTGAGTTGCTAATGTTAGCCATTCTGACAGGTGGTATCTCATGGTGGTTTTGATTTGTGTTTCCCTGATGATGAGTGCCGTTGAGCATTTTTTCATGTGTCGTTTGGCCATCCGGATGTCTTCTTTGGAGAAGTGTCTCTTCATGTCTTTTGCCCATTTCTTCACTGGATTATTTGTTTTCTGGGTGTGCGTTTGATAAGTTGTTTATAGATTGTAGATACTAACCCTTTATCTGATTAGTCGTTTGCAAATATCTTCTCCCATTCTGTCGGTGGCCTTTTAGTTTTGCTGATGGTTTCCTTTGCTGTGCAGAAGCATTTAATTTTGATGAGGTCCCAGTAGTTCATTTTTGCTTTTGTTTCCCTTGCCTCTGGAGACATGTTGAGTAAGAAGTTCCTGCAGCCAAGATCAGAGAGGTTTTTGTCTGCTTTCTCCTCGAGGATTTTGATGGCTTCCTGTCTTACATTTAGGTCTTTCATCCATTTTGAGTTTTTTTTTGTGTCTGGTATAAGAAAATGGTCCGGGTTCATTCTTCTGCATGTCGCTGTCCGGTTTTCCCAACCCCGTTTGTTGAAGAGACTGTCTTTATTCCATTGGATATTCTTTCCTGCTTTGTCAGAGATTAGATAGCTATACATTTGTGGGTCCATTTCTGGGCTCTCTATTCTGTTCCATTGATCTGAGTGTCTGTTTTTGTGCCAGTAACATCTACTTTTTAAACTCGTTTCACACAGTGGTACGGAGCACCGTTCAGGACCAGCCTCTGGTTTTCCACGGCAAAGTGAGGTCATCTGGGTATGCGACCGCCCCGCAGTGAGTAACTAGGCCTGGAGAGGCGGCAAAGATGTGTGTGGAGGGCCACCCCCGGGTGCAGGGCAGGGACACGTGGACAGCAGTCAACACGAGGCCGCAGCAAGCCCCTCCTGTGTGCTCGCCATGTGCTCGCCTCTCGGGCGCCCTTTGGTCCTGATTGACGGCAGCGCTGATGCCTGGTGACCTTGTCAGGTGCCAGGACAGGGGCGGACCTGCCTGGGAGAGGGGGACGCAGGGACGGAGACCTGGCCGCCGGGGCTTTCTGGGAGCATTAGATGCAGTGTATTCAGACCTGGTTTGGTGGGTTGGGGAGGGAGGGAGTCAATGATGACGAAATTGGGAACAACGTGGTATCTGGGGAGTTTCAAGTACAGCAGAGCCTTGAAATCCCCTTGTCTTTCCGGAATGCCGCATTTCTTGGAAGCGGACTTTGCTTTTCTGTGTGAAATGCACGTCGGCCTCTGACGTCTTCTCACCCCAAATCTTGATCTGTTCCGTGCTCTTCACATACTGAGCGGAACGGTCCTGGGGGCCCCACTCGGAGCGCAGGTCAGGGCTTTGGGAGGCTCTCTGGGGTCACCCGTCCCCTGACCCGCTTATGCCATGCTCTCCCTCTCCCTCCCCCCTGGCCTCCGCGTCCATCCCTCTGCCTCGGGGCTCTCCATCGGCCCTTTCTTCCCCCTCATGCGCTTCCCTGAGGCTCACATGGGTGCTGCTTATGGGGCAGCCAGTCTTGCTTCTATCCAGGCTGCCTGGACACCATGCCCACCTCTGCCGTGATTCCCTCCCAGCCCTTGCCTGCTTTATTCTCTCTGCCACGACTGGCTAGCATGACTTCGTGCTTTACTTATTATTTATTCTTTAAACCTCTGGTCCTGGTACAGCACTTGGCACGCAGACCCTCTCGCAAAGTACTGATGGATGACGGATGGACGGACGGATGGATGGATGGATGTGTGATAGATGGGTGGGTGGATGATGGATGGATGGGTAGGTGGATGGATGGATGGATTCTGGATCCTTGCCTCAACAAAATTGCACACTAGTTCATACACCATGCCTGTGGGCACCAGCTGTAGTGTGATCTGCTGTGTTCAGTGTGGACTTCTGGGGTCCCTTATATTAAGGCACGTCTTGAGTTTTCTTTCCTGTGTGGGTGCCCAGGGGGAGGAAGAGGCCAGACCACGAACAGCCCTGAGCACCAACCTGGGAGTTTGAACTTTACGGGAAAAGTACAGCATGATGTTACAGTATTTTAAATGTCAAGGATCACCCTGTCAGGATATGCGGCACGGTGACCTGTCAGAGGCAGTGGGAGGGGCAGATGGAAGGAGGCGAGCCCAGCCCTGACCGTGTCCGCCTCCCTCCTGGCGTGCTTCCTGTGCTCCGGCAGCATTCTGGCTCCTTCTCACATGTTCCCTGCTGGTCCCCGCTCAGTGGTCTCTTACCCTTTGTTCTCTTTTCTCCCATCCTCAAGTGACTGGCATCCTCCCTCCTCCGGGCCCCAGGGGACTTTCAGATCCTGCGGCAGTGCAGAGCCTCTGGCGGTGGCCCGGGGCCAGGCCACCCCCTCCTGCCCCTTGGTCTGATGGCTCCGGGCACGGCCCGAAGCCGAGCCTGCTACTGACACTGCAAGGCTTGGATGCGGGTGCGGGATGGGGGTGTGGCTGTCCCTCGTCTGTCCCCGGAGCTCAGCACCATGTGCCCCAGCATCTCTGGGAGCTTCTTTCTTCATCTTAAAAACCATCTTGAAAACAGGTGCCTGTTCAGCCACCGCCAGCATTTAATCTAATTCTGTTCAAGAGAGAATTCAGTGTGACTTGCCAGGAATTTCTCTTCTGTCTCTGAGTAGGTTTGCAAAATAATGTTCACAAGTGAAGTTTCGTTTCTGTTATGATTATATAAATTTATTCTCCAAAAGGAAACAATATCATAAGAATCATGTTTTGTATTCACTTTAAGGGGATTCTGACTTTGGGAGCAGTTTTTTGATTTATACATCTTTCACACACACCTCACAAAATGGGACCAATAGATAATTTGCGGTGTGATCTTTACACAGAAATGGTTATCTTAGTGTTTTTCTAGTAGTCAAAATTTATAAGTGAGTAGCTCAGTATTATCCAGAATTTTTATGTCCAGATATATTTTCAGCAGTGCAATAGCCAGTATAGATATATAATTGAAACAATAGCTGTTACAATTAGAGTAAGTGAGTGTTCGCTTTATCACTAGTTGGGACACTGAAAGCGTTTATATGTTTATATGTTCTGTATGTTTTGCTGCAAAATACAGGTCTCTTAAGAAGCTTGGAGTTGTCATCTTTGAGATGACGTAAGAGTTTTCTTTCCACAGCGTCACTATGTTTTCACCCAAGACCAACACCAGGAATAACGGTGACAGCCCTTCACGCCGCAGGAGCAGTCACAGGTGGTGTGTCACGAACTTGCCTTTCAAAGTAGACGTAGCATACTTTGGGGAGGGCCTTTGAATACTGTCAGTGAATTTGTTTCAAACAGGTGTCCAACCTTGGGAGTACCAGATGTGTACATGGCCCACGTATACACAGCGTGTGCACGTTATTCGTATATGTATGTCCTTTTACTCAGATTCAGTTCTTCCGTATTCATTTTTCAGACAGGCTGCTATTTTTACCGTCTTGACAACTTGGCAATATTTTTTTCTTTCTTTAAATCCAAGTTAGTTAACATATAGTGTGATAATGGTTTCAGGGGTAGAACCCAGTGATTCACCACCTACACACGACACCCAGTGCGCATCCCGGCAAGTGCCCTCCTCAATGCCCGTCACCCACCTACACCATCTCCCCCCACCTCCCCTCCAGCGACCCTCAGTCTTCAGAGTCTCTCTTGCGGTTTGCCTCCCTTTCTGTATTTATCTTATTTTTCCTTCCCTTCCCCTATGTTCATCTGTTTTGTTTCTTAAATTCCACACGTGAGTGAAATCATATGGTATTTGTCTCTCTCTGACGGACTCATTTTGCTGAACACGATACCCTCTAGTTCCATCCATGTTTGCTGCAAATGGCAACACTTCCTTCTTTTTGATCGCTGAGTCATAACCCATCGTGTGTATACAATCCGCTTCTTTATCCATTTGTCCGTCAGTGGACATTTGTGCTCTTTCCATACTTAGGCTATTGTTGATAGCGCTGCTATAAACGTTGGGGTGCCTGCGCCCCTCAAAACAGCATCCCTGTATTCCTTGGATAAATACCTAGTAGTGCAATTGCTGGGGCATAGGGTAGTTCTATTTTTAGTTTTTTGAGGAACCTCCATACTGTTTTCCAGAGTGGCTGCACCAGTTTGCATTCCCACCAGCAGTGCAAGAGATCCTCTTTCTCCGCATCCTCACCAACCTCTGTTATTGCCCGAGTTGCTAATGTTAGCCATGCTGACAGGTGTCAGGTGGTATCTCTTGGTGGTTACGATTTGTATTTCCCTGATGATGAGTGATGTGGAGCATCTTTTCATGTGTCACTTGGCCATCTGGATGTCTTCTTTGGAGAAGTGTCTATTCATGTCTCTTGCCCATTTCTTCACTGGATTATTTGTTTTTTGGGTGTTGGGTTTGATTTGTTTATCGTCTTGTGGATACTAACCCTTTACCAACTATGTCATTTGCAAATATCTCCTCCCATTCCATCAGTTGCCTTTTAGTTTTGTTGAGAGATTCCTTCTCTGTGCAGAAGCTTTTTATCTCGATGAGGTCCCAATAGTTCATTTTTGCTTTTGTTTCCCTTGCCTCTAGAGGCAATAGTTAATTTTTGTTAAAATGCTGTTTTAAGAAAGTGTTGTAGCCAGCGATGGATCATTCTTGATAAGTTTCTTGCTTAATAATTGGACAGAAAAATTTGATCAGTTTATGGGCTCCAGGCGAATATTGAATGGCCGGCGATGAGTTCACTGACATGGATGCGCTTCTTGTGGGACGCACTGCTGCCCACGATGTGCGGATCGTGGCCAACCTGCCGATCCCCAGGCCCCACGTGCCTAGATGGGAAGGTGTTTGGGGGACCTCTAGGACCTAGATTCCCTCATTTGGATGGAGACTATGGCTGGTGGT